TTTTCCCCTACACATTACTTGCCTGAGGAACTCTGTTGTAAAATTCGGGAAAATGCCAATTTTGATGGATGGCTGTGTTTCAGGTTCATGTATTGTTTCGAAAAGTGTGAATTTAAATGTTTGCCTTTAAATTGTGAAGTGGAGTGAATTTTTCCTTCATCCATAGCAGTGATGCCCCGATGGGAGGCTATTGCCATGACTCTGCCCCACCAGGTGAGTCACTCCTACTGAAACGGCATGCCAGGAGTCCCCCCCCCCCAAATAGAACATGTGAATTAAAGTGTGGCTGAAAGGATCGGGAACATGGGCCCACCTCCTATGTCATGTCCCACTGATAAACGATACATGGAAGAAGATGGTGCAAAGTTCAGGGGGAAATGCTGTGGGCAAAGTTTTGTGTTGGGTGGGGGGCTGTTAATTGATAAATTGCCCTGAACGTCTTCCTGGTGACATGGTTTGTGTCACAGAGTGATGTTCATGGAAAGGGGAGGGCTGAGCAAAGTTTGGGAATCAAAAGCTGATCACTGGGTCCTCTTGTTCTCAGAAGAGACTAGCGGTCAAAAACCATGAAGTCCCCAAGATGATGCTGGAAAGGGGAAGGGAGATCTCCCACGTTGTTCTTTCGACTCCTTTTTGAAGTGGCATCGCACAGCTCAGCTATGATCTGCTGGTAATCAAAGAGGCTTAAGGAGATTTCATTTGCAAAGGACCCCAAATTGCAGACAAGAGGAGGAGCTCTTCCATGAGTCAAGACAGCCTGACCCTCGCATGGAGTTTTAAAGATGTGTGAGGAAGAAAGGATTCCCTTCTTATGTTTCTTTCCCTTCCTGGCCTTCCCCAAAGCACTAGCGTTTCTTTCCTCATCCTCCCACACACAAATATACCATTGCCCTGGGCAAAGCAGCACACAGGTCATTATAGTACCAGGCAGGGAAACCTTTTCCACCTTCTGTGGAAACACCCAAAAAATAATAACGCTGCCTGAGTCAGCCATGTAGATTCGCTTGGTTGTGTTCCTTCTAGGGTAAGATTACCAGATGTCCCTGTTTCCCGGGGGCAGTCCCCAGATTTACAAATCAGTCCGCATACAAAATCCATTGAAGTTGAAAAGTGTGCTAGGATTCATTGGAAAAAATCTGGTAACCTTATTCTAGGGTGGTCAGACTTCCAGGTCTGATGTGAAGTCTCCAGGTTTGCCTGACCTTCTCCAGGTAGGTAAGAGTGTTTGTATGATGATCATGATGATGATGATGGTGATGATGATGATGATGCCTGTGCATGCTGCTTGCAAGCTTCAACCCACTAGGAGAGCCAGTGTGGTGTAGTGGTTAAGAGCGGTAGTCTCGTAATCTGGTGAATCGTAATCGGGTTCACTTCCCCGCTCCTCCACATGCAGCTGCTGGGTGACCTTGGGCCAGTCACACTTCTTTGAAGTCTCTCAGCCCCACTCACCTCACAGAGTGTTTGTTGTGGGGGAGGAAGGGAAAGGAGAATGTTAGCCGCTTTGAGACTCCTTAAAGGGAGTGAAAGGCGGGATATCAAATCCAAACTCTTCTTCTTCTTCTTCTAGGAGCTAGCTGCAAATTTTAGCATAGATACTTGGTGGGAGGGGGTCTGTTCTCCTTCACTCCCCTCTCCCAGTTGTCCTCAGTGTCCAGGACCAGCCTCCATGATATCACCCCCCCCCCCCGGTGCCTCAGATCTGGGCCCTGAAATCTCAGAGACTGGGATGTTCCTGAACTGGCAACTCCAGCTCCTTCATGTGGAACTAGCATTCCCTTCTGTTACTATTTCAGTGTGTCCCTGTGAGGTTCCTCCTGCTCATTAAACATCCTTTGATTCTGACAGTTGTCCCATCTCATGCAAGGACACTCTCTCAGTTTCTGGCTGCACAGATATGCAACCTTCCTGCTTGCTGTGGACTGCAAAGGCCTAAGCATTCACCGGTGGTATAAATAAAAACCGTCTGCTGCACAGGGATGGGAAACTTGCAGTCATCCAGATGCTGTTGGAAAGGGGTAGCCAATGTAGTGCTCTCCATGTATTGTTGAACTACAACCCCCATCAGCCCCAGCCAGCATGACCAATGGTCAGGATGATGGGATTTGGAGTCTCAACATCTGGAAGGTTTCGGATATCTTCTTTTGCAGGTACTGCTGGTCTTGTAGCCTCCTCCCACCACATCCACATCACCCAATAAGTAGGTTTATGCCATTCATTGGACCCCCAGGGAACTCGACAAACTTTGGAACTAGGTATGGAGAGTGCAGCTGAATGGGACATAGCTGTGGGAAGCCTGAGGAAGTACTTTGGGCCTGCCCATAACAAGCAAAGCTAAAGTGAGAGACTAGGGTGGTGTCTGCTGTTTCCAAGAACTCTTCTTGTTGTGAGACTTTTGTGCATGAACTGAAAGTTTGTAGGGACCCTGCATGAGAACCTGGAGGCTGAGGGGGAGGGTGTAGGTCAGAAGGAAAATGAATTGATATTAGTACCTTTGCATTAAGGTAACATTTTTATATGTAACGGTGTATTTTTGTAATATCTTGTTTATGTTGTTTGTTGTTGCTTCTGTCTTTTGTACACCGCTTTTTAATACATTAAGCAGTATAGAAATTAAATAATCAATCAAATAATCAATTCATTCAGTGAGCATACACTGTGGTCACACTACGTGAAAAAGCCAATTTCCCAACATTCCCTCCCTTTATAGTGTGGCCAATAAACATTACTCAGAATGGACTTGTGCGGATGAAGTGTGTGAAATAATGCAGGAAGGATCAATCTCAGTTATCAGGAGCAGGGAGCTCCTTGTTGGTGGAAGGGATGGGCCTCATATCAGAAGCAGCTCACCAGAAAGGGCTCATTTGCTATGCTAGCTTTCTGGCAGGTGGGTCACTGTTTTTTAGTGGAAGAGAGAGGGGAAGTGGCAAAGAGACAAAGATATCAACACAGTGAAAATGCATTCCCTGCCTCTGTCTAAAGGCTTTGCAGAAATATTTGGCTTCTGGATCTGGGACCAACTTTTGAAAAAGCAACTTGCCTGGCCGCCATCTGCAACAGTTGACTTAGACAGGCGTCCCACCACCACCACAGCAACATGTCCAACTTGATGGCCCATTTATTTGCTTAATCGATACATTAAAGACATTTATTGTGTCCCCACCTCTCACAGTTGCTAGATATGTGACAACGAAAAATATGGTGGCATTTCCTATCCGTCCAGGTCCATTTGCTTTCACCAGGGGTATCCCTCCATTTTCTATCTGTCCCCTCTTACAGAAGGCCTGTTTTCCTCTTCTACATTATAGCCTGGGTACAAAACCAGAGAGTTCACTGCATAAATCAGGCACCAGGGAGAGCAAAACTCTTCTGATAGAAGAAGCAGGCAGGCAGGGCGGCAGGTGCTTTGCACAGGACACTGCTACTCCACATGTGCACAGTAACTTTCCTCTCACTCGCTCAGGGGCACCACCAGCTTGTAAACTGAATCTGTGTGCAATGACTGTGCAACATCTGAGTGCTAAGAGGGGAGGACAGCAACAAGAGGAGGATAACATACAGAGCAAAGGGCTTGGCACCGGCCTGCTCAGATCCCCTCCCCTTTCTCCACTGGTCAGAAATGCCACAGGCAATGGAGTGACGCAGACTCCTCAGCATTCCCAGGCAGGTTTCAGATAAGCCGCCCCTATCGGGTGGAAGGATCATCTTTTAAATAAGAGTTAGAGGCTGTTGCAGCCTGGGGGCCACCATTAGAAAATAGCTGGTTGATTTCCACATGGGGACCATTAATACCACACGTGCAATGATGGAAAGATACTCGGGTATGCTCTGGAGTTCATGTAAGCTGCAGCCTGAGGAGGAGGTGTGCATGGTGCAGGAGACAATCTGTCTGCCCTTTCCAGGCCGAGATCACGCTCTGAGGAAATGTGATCGCTGGTCAACAAATAAAAGCTGCTCAAAAACACCCTGACCCCAGTGTCTCAAGAAACTGCCATCCTGCCTGTAGGCTCTTTGGACAACACTGACAAATGACTGTGAGACTCAGGAGACAACAGACTTGGCCCAGTCCAAGGAGGGGGTGCCAGTTGCTGACCTCAAATCCAGTTCCTCTGCCCTCTCCTGCCCTCTTCAGGAACGTAGAGAGATTTCCAGTGGAGAAAGCAGATTGGACCTGCAGTGCTTCCCCTGTCAGTGTGGAAAGAAGCTTCCCATGGAAACCGTGAAGACAAGAGATTTTTCCTGGTCTCAGAATCAGCCTTTAGGCCAAACAGGCCTGAGTGGGCTGGAGCCCCTTCATTATATGTCCACGTAATCCAAAAATCGGATGAACTAAAGCAATAGAGTCCATTTAAGGGTGGTGGTGATCTATCTACACCTCTGGCTGTGCCTTTGCTGTAACAGAACAAAATCACCCTGGGACAGAATACACTTGTTTTAATAACTGAATCATCTGATGACATAGAATGCTGTTACGCTGTAAATCTAAGCAGGTCTCAGCTTGTTGATTGGCTGGATGGTAGACTGGCTGGGAGCTGCATGTAAGGTGCTCTGAGCTTCTAGGAATCAAAATAAGGATAACAGCACCACAAACCAATAAAGAGATAAACACACAAAGCATCATATGACATAGCATCACTATCTACAGATCCAGTCTGGGGTAGTGGACAGAGTGTGGGACCATGAAGACCTGGGTTTCGGTTCTTTATCAGCTGTGAAACTCCCTGGGTCACCCTGAGTAAATCGTTGTTATCTCAGTCTTACCAAACCTTCCCCAACATAGTGCCCTTCAGATATTTTGACCACTACTCCTGCCAGCCCCAGAGAGCACATCCAATCTAGCTGGCTGGGGCTGATAGGCGTATTAGAGGGTGCCAGGTTTCAGAAGATCACTCTAATATTTCCCATGTGGGAACAGCCTCACAAAGAGTTCATCTTGACACACACACACATGCACCACTGAGTTCAGGGGAGGAAGGGTATCAATGCCATGAATGCACAAATAATAATGTAAAAGTTCATTAGATCACACAGGTGAACAGAGTGCAAATACCTACATCATGGTTGTGCCAGCAGTTTTATATAAATGCAAAGAATGCAGGGCACACTCTGAATTACACAGGGTGATTGTATGTTATCATCTGATGCAGAAATACACCATTGGTTAGGCAGTGGTTAGATGTGACCTCATTGCCTTAACATACACACACAATCTGGTCAATTTGGGATTTTAGAATTTATTCACATTCTTTGTCCAGTGGTGCTGAAGCTTTTTCATTCTTGAACCCTTTACCCCAACCTCAGCACTCTTCTTATGACACATCCACTTCTGGCAGCAGAGGGAGGACCTCAAACTCCAATCAGGAATTTAGGCTTAATTCAGGCAACTATTCTATCCGAGATGGTGAAGGGATCTAGCTAAGAGGCTGGAATGTCTTCGCTTGCAAGGATCTATCTATATATGAGATTTAGAGGAGACACGGGGCCTCCATTCATGCACCCAATATTTCTAAACAGATGCAGTGTCATAATGCAAAGGTGATCTGAATACAAATGAGAATGGTAGGCTCCTGTCTACATTTCTGGAATCTCCTACACATGGATTTCTCAGTGCTGGGGTGTGTTTCCCTCCATCTTTCTGTCTGCAACAATTGGCAAAGAAATGCTAGGCCATGAGAAATGCCATGGCCATCCTCTCTAAATCTGCAAAGACTTGCTTAGCTAGACATATGAAAGCAGAAAGCATTCTTCTATCACTCCCTCCTTCTCTCTGCCTCATCTCCTTTCAAGCCCTGATCCACTCATGGGAAGAAGTCTTAATGTCATCCACATCCCAAGAAAGGGATGGAGAGACAGGTGAAGTCATTGGTGCATGGGAGCACAGCATTAAAGTGGCGGCAAAAGGTATTATCCCAGATCTAAGGACATGTTTGCTCTTGTTAGTGGCTGGGACTGGAAATGCCAACACTGACTGAGCAGGAACACAGGGACCATTTATTCTGCTCCTCTTGCTATGCCGGAAATAGTGCTGAAACAAACAAACAAGAAAATGGGCAAGAAAATGGGAAAGTGAACCCTGCAACTTCAAATCAGCAAATTAAAACTCAAAGCCAAGCAGAACAGGCTCAGAGTCTGGAACCACCCCCACCCCCAAAAAATCCTAGTGAGCATGAGGGCATGTGAAGAAGTTCTACCAATGAAGCTAAGCGAGATGGACCTTATAAGCTGCTCTGAGCTCTTTGGAGGAAAAGCATCTAGTGGCTAGAAAGCAAATGAACAGATTGGCCCTAAATGCGTGCCAGGACTTGAATTTGAGGCTTGCACAACAATTGTCAGGAAGAACACCAATAAATAAATAAATAAGTAAATCAGCCATTCTGCAGATTTTCACAAACATTTGTGACCACCTTGATTAAGATCGTTTCTGAATTCCCAATTGCTTTGCTTCAGCAATTGAAACCACACACATAAAAAAATGGTCCCCCTCCCCTCCACTCTAGTGCCCATTCTGGTCCTGCAACTCCAGGTTCAATTTACAGCTTGAAGGCAGTTGCCAGAGCAAGTACATTTACACCCCAGTTTTCTTTTTGAGTCACAAAATTTTTAACAGCATCTATATGTATATATGTACAGCCTGCAGGAGCTCAACAAGGCCGGTGGGTGGACAGGGGCCCCGTCTGATGGAATGGAGTTTGCTAAAGGGCTAGAGAGGTTGGATAACTTTTTCCTCTCTCCTTTCTTTCTTCTTGTGTCATCCGATGTATATTCCTTTCTTTTTTTTAATAATAATAATAATAAATCAGACACAAGCCCTAGCAGCTCTGCCAAGCTCACTCTCGGCTAGACCCAAAGATCTGCAGGAGAAAGGAGAATATGTAGATGATGTCTAGGTAGATGTTGAGAGCCCCAAAGATGTATTCCTCTGGGCTCATAGCGTAGCGTCTGTTTCCCATCAGGAGCTGCGTGTCAAAGGCCAGGAACTGAGGAGAGAAAACCAAACACAGGCCAAGGTCAGTGCTGCCATTTTATACATGTCTGCTCAGCGCTGAGTCCCCCTAAGTTCAGTGAGACTTGCTCCAGGGGAAGCGAGTATAGGATTGCAGTATAGGATTGCTAAGTGTGCCGGTAACCTCTCTGGAGAAATCTGTCAAATCAGTTTCGCTTGTTTTCTCTGTTACAATTCCAATTTGCCACATTTCCACGTCTGTTTACATTTAAATGAAAAAAGTCCTGAGCATTTTAGTGTGCCCACATTTTCCCCTTAATACACATTTATTTATTATTTTTGTATGCAACTTTTGCCCATTAAACATATTTGGGCAAGCAATTTCCCCTAAGATAAAGCATTTGGGAGGAATGGAGGGCTAAAAATATAATGACTCCTCCTACTAATACACACACTTTTATGTGCCTATTCTCCTGACGTACACAATTCTGGGTTGGAGAATGGCAACATTTGAAGGCTGGTGGTGTTTTGGTTTGTATATTGATTTGGAAAGGGCGAATGAGGTAGGCCCAGATGAAGCTGGGGACTGAACTGAGTTTCATCCCATCCTTTCTGACCTTCAGAGCTTATGGGGATAACAGTATTGGCATGAGACTTTAGCCACCTCCCTTGCTGCTGGTAGGTCAAGTCCACACCCATACCCAGCCTCAACCTCCTTCGCTCTGCTCCTCACCCGGAAAGCTCAGGCAGCTCCCATGGCTTGGATTAAGAGGGAGGATCCTCGCTGGGTGGGTGCCAGCCTGACTTGCCAGCCTGAGCCAGTGTAATCAAGATCTCACTGCCCAGATGCAACACCTCACTCTCCTGCCTTGTACAAAGTGGGAAAGGGATCCATAAACAGAACTGAAAATGTGCATGCTTAAATGCATTTCCACTATACCCATGTCCCTGTGGCTCTCTGAGTGAATGGAAACAGGAGAAAAGAATTAAAAGGCTCACAATGGGCTACAGAATCCAGTAGATTTTCCCTGCATCCCACTATCTGCTTAAACAACAACCGCCATGACCTACCAACGCATAGCTGTCAACCGTCCCTTATTTGGTGGGAAAGTCCCTTATCCTAGCGCTGTGTCCCGCTGCTGTCCCTTATTGATGATGTCCCTTAAATTTCCCAGGTTTCAAAGGAAGCAGCTCTCTCCTCCCTCCTTGCCTGCCGGCCAGGGAGGAGGGAGGCTCCAACTGTGTTGCTTGGCCGTGTTGCTCACCCAATAAGGAGTCTAAGAACGACTGGGGGGTGGAGCTTGCATGCCTTGTGCCAATCAAATCGGCTGCTTTGCCTGGGGACTCGCCTTTGCTCAGCGCTTCCCAGTGGAGAGGTGACAGTGGTTTTCCTTGCTGCATCCCCTTTGCCGGGTTGCTGCGCTATGGGAACCACCGCTTGAGGCTTTGTTTGGCTGCTGGCTGGGCTTTCTGCCTTTGGCTCGGAGGGGCTCAGAAGTTGAACATACCTGTGTTCTGAAAATCCCTTATTTTGGCTGCTGATCCCTTATTTTCGAGGCTGCTGGTCCCTTATTTTCAAATCTGTAAGTTGACAGCTATGTACCAACGTGGCCTACTGCATTCTTCCCAAAGGAGGAACACAAGGAACATCACACAACCTTCCCCTATGCTACATGTTTGGTTTTTAATTCAAGGGTGGGGACAAATTTTGCATTTCTTCCCCCGCCCACTTTTGCTTCTGGCTTTTCCCACCTGTGGCCCCTGGAAAAGGGTGCTCAGAAAGGAATGTGACCTTCAGCCCAAAATGTCTACTCTAATGTCAACAGCACTTTGCGTCCCACTTTTTCTTGCGTCACAGAGCCCGGTTAAAATGCTTGCTGAGGACTGCAGTTCAGATTTGTGGTTTAGTTTCATGATAAATTGTGGGTTATCAAAGGTCCAAAGGGCAGTTGTTAGAAAGCTCCAGGAGAACAACCCTCTTTTGTTGGGAACCGGAACCTCCAGGTAGGTTTGTTACACTAAGGTTAACATGGTTACAGAAACAATGACAGGATCACCTGGTTAACCGAGGGCACTGGGCCATTCCCTTAGACTGGCCTGTATCTTAACCTATATTCCCTACCAGTGGGCAAAGTACAGGCTTCAAATATCCCAAAGTTAGACGGTGGAGATGGCAAACTTCTTTAGAGGTTGGTGTTTGAAGGAACATGTTGGCATCCCTGAAAGCACACCTTTTTGATTAAAAACAGGATAGGAGAAAACGTGTTCTCCCTAACAGAGAGCACGTGTTGTGGTGGGGGATACAAGCCACCCCATTGTTGCTGGGCAGATTTGCGGAGTGACCCAGGCAGTGAATTGGTTAATTTGGGTCGCTGGGGAGAATTCCTTGTTGCCAATTTTGAAGGAGGGGTCAGAGGTGTTAAATACTGGACGCCCAACTTTGGGCGTCCTCTTGGCTGCTTGCACCGGATCACCGGCCCACCCTCCCTGTATTGGGGGGGGGGGTTGTTCGCTTGACCTTGCTATGCCTGTCATGGGGTTGTCTGCTTTGAGGCAGGGGCCTGGTAGGAATTTTGTCCATTTGGCTGATTGGCTGGTGCCATTTGGTTTTTGCCTACTGCGTAGCAAATCATCACAACTTGTAAGGTTGGTGGTTAGGCATTGGTTCAAATTGGTTGGTGGAGAGGTAAGTGTCTACCCCTCCAATGGTGGTGCGGAAAGGGAATTCTGTTAAAGGAATCCAGGTGCTTGCCATTCTTTTCGTCCTTGTCCCTGGCATCGGACTTGGGCCGTGCAAGCCACCAGGAGCATGAGGGTGAGAAGTGAGGGACTGAGGCCCAGCTTCATTTTCTCCCCAAAATTGTTTCCCTCACTGGCTTCCGCTGGAATCCGGAAGTCAGTCCTGTCCCCTGGGCAAGGACAGATAGTCAGAACCAATGTCTAAGCAACCACTCACTTGTGTGTATTTAAATAAAGTTGTGGCCAAAATCGTGAATTATTGGGGGGTGGCTTGGGGACCTCAACACGCAACATTCAGCACTGCATTAGAAATAGGCATATTTGGGGCAATATTCTCTCTGATGTTGGAAAGGTAACATGGTGGCTGACTAAAAATGGTTTGGGGGAAGGCCTGATCTGGCCTGCAGGTTCAGCCAAACAGAGTAACATCCAAAACCGACTTTTCCATGTTCAGGGAATAAGCCTTTCCGAGGTGTCAATGATAGGGAGGTTTAAGGGAAATACCACAATGCACAGGGACCTTCTTCCTGTATGCTGAATTGTTGTATGCAATGAGCTATGCACCGGCTGAACTCTGCCTGCAGTTTGAGAAGGTGGCACACAGTTTCATTGATAAGACACATTTCTAACATGGGAAGAGACATGCAGCAATGTTCTGAGGATATACGCTAAGACTTCATGCTGCAGCTCAAGCAAGAAGAACCACATGATTAGTTTTAACACACAGGTACATGCAGTTGCACCATTCAGTCTACCAAAGTTTAAAGGTGCTGACCTTTAAGGCCCTAAACAGCCTCAACCCAGTATACCTGAAGGAGGGTCTCCACCCCCATCGTTCGGCCCGGACACTGAGGTCCAGTGCCGAGGACCTTCTGGCGGTTCCCTCACTGCGAGAAGTGAAATTACAGGGAACCAGGCAGAGGGCCTTCTCAGTAGTGGTACCCGCCCTGTGGAACGCCCTCCCATCAGATGTCAAAGAGATAAACAACTATATGACATTTAGAAGACATCTGAAGGCAGCCCTGTTTAGGGAAGTTTTTAATGACTGATGTTTTAATGTATTTTTAATCTTTTGTTGGAAGCCGCCCAGAGTGGCTGGGGAAACCCAGCCAGATGGGTGGGGTAGAAATAATAAATTATTATTATTATTATTATTATTATTATTATTATTATTATTATTACCTTGCTGTGAGATACATATGTCTGCGGCAAATAAGGGAGGCAAGACGAGGAGCTGCTGGTGAAGGTGGCAGAGGTAAGCAGCCATGCTGTGTTGCAGCTCTGGTAGTGGGGAGGGTCCGAATGGTGGTGGGCTTGGCAGGATCAGTGATGAGCCTTTCCAAGCCTCTGTGCCCTCAATAGATGCCCAGCCTTGCCAACTTCAGGTGCAGGCGCTGGTGCCCTTGTGCACCAGGTCAAATGTCCCTACTTGCTAGTATCTCTTTGAGTTTCCCCTCACTGATGGATGGCTGTCACCTCTTACCAGCTTCCACCATATAGTTAGAGCCTGGCGACATTCACAGATGTTGTATAAAATGAATACATTCTCATGCGCGCGCATATATCTATATATAGCACAGGCGTCAGACTCTGAGACTCCTGCAGCTCCCTGGGAGACTGGTGGAAAAGGCTGCAGGGTATGCTATGCAAGCCCAAGGGGTTGTAGGCCGAGCCCATTGCTTATCTCTGCTTCTTAACTTACATAGTGGTCAATTGCCCCCCTCAAGCCCTGAGGACAATTAGCTGTGAAAAGGGAGAGAGCAAAGATAGCAAGAGATAGACAACACTCTCAGCTGATGCAATCCTTTTTTTAAAAAAAAAAGTATATTCAGGGAAACGGTGCAAAAAAATGTGTCTAATAATGAAAGTAACATAAAAACCGAAGATTGGAAACATGAGGACCTCAGAAAAAGCAAAAGTGACAGATTTATCTGCCCCTATCTTTTCACCCCCACACTCTGATGGTGAGGCATCAATAGCAAGGTAAGTTTAAAGCACATATACAGCACCTAGCACCCCTCCCAAAGACTCCCGGGAACTGTAGTTTGTTAAGGGGGTTAGAGATTGCAGTTCTTTGGGAGTAAATTTCAGTTCCCATGATTCTTTGGAGGAAAATCATCTGCATTAAATCTATGCTGTGTCCACAGCCAAGGTCTCCAAGGGGATAGCTTGGTTTTCCCATTCTGAACTGAGACAAGTGGGTGTCTTGCCCATCAGAACTGAGACCGAATCCTGAACAGTGTAGGCTTGAACACATGGATTGCAGATTGGATTGTATAAAGCACAGATTCGTGAAATACAAGGAGAGGCTCAGCTTATGTATTTGAAGGAGTGGGGTTAGAGGAGCCTTCTTCTCCCACAAAATCAAAGGGAGCAAAGGAAGGAGCAAAAGCTTAAAATGGACCTGGGGTGGTGGTGGTTCTGTATAAAGCAATAAGAGTTTAAGAGACAAAAAAAAAATGACCCAATGCCTTTTGGTTGAGGACAACCTTCTTCTAGGGCACAGCAAGAGAAACACATTGGACCTTTAATCGTTTTATATGGACTCAATTGGTGGTGGTGGTTTTGAAAGATGCACTTTCTCCCCAGTGTCATTCCCCCACATCTTTTGCATCCTCTGCATGGCTACAAGTGAAAAGCACAGCTGATATTTTAACCTCTGTGAATTCTCACTTCTGGTTGCAGTGAGTCAAGGAAAGAATTGTCTTGAGCTCAGCTTACTTACCATAGTAAATACAATTGCACCCAGCACAGCATAAATGGCCTGGAGCCACGGCACCTACATGGAAAGAAGCAAGAGAGATTGGTCAGCCTCATAGGACAGAAGGATGTAAACAATGCAATCCATGTGAGAGGATGAATGGCTGGATGTTTCTACATAGTAAGATGCTCTGCTGGGTTCCATTTCCAGCCTTTCCTGAAGATGCCAGGTATTGAAACCTGAGAACTGTAAGAATTCCTGCTCCGTGGTTGCAGTCATGGGATTGTTGTCTTTCACATGACGGTGTATGTTTTGATTCCACAGAGTGGGAAGTGATGGAGACAGGATGTTTGTGTTACTGTGTTCCGTGAAGTGGGACTATTGTCCTTTGTTTTTGCTCTTTGCTGTCTGATGCTAGAGAGGGAGGGAGCCATGTTGCAGTGCTCCGTGTGTGTTTATATGTAAATAAAGTAGATTAGCCAAAATGCTGAGTTGCTGAGGTCTGTTACGCGAACTGCAAAGACTCTGCGGATCCCTAAGTGTGCCGATGTCTGTTGGCATTGGTCGCTGTGATGTTCGAGCTGAAGGAAGCTTTTGAAGCTCCCGAACGATCGACCAGGAGGGAGAGAACATGCCAGTTGGGCATGGGTCTCTGCCAGGGTCCTACTCGAGTGTAGGACAAGCTCCTGCCTTGTAATGACTGAAACCATCAGTTTTGATTGCACTGGCTCTATTGGGTTCCATTTTCAGCCTTCCCTGGAGACACCAGGTCTTGAACCCAGAGATCTTCTACATGGGCATCAGATGTTCTAACCACTGAGCTATGGCCCTTCTCTTAGTAGAGCCTCAAGGTACAGGTTGGCTCAAAGTAAAATAATAACAACAACAATAATAGACACTTCCAGAAAGAAGATAGAAAAGGAACCAACAAGATGTAAGGAAGAGAAAATATTTTTGCATTGTTCTCATTTCATTAAACAGGCTCCCAAGCACAGGCTGAGGACCAAACATCACTTGATAATGATTTGAAGGGTGTTGGATGATACTGGAAGCTGAATAAAGCTCTCTTTTTTGGCAAAGACTCCTGTAGTGTGTCAGCAACAGAATCGTAACCATGTCTACACTGAAGTATGTCCTACTGAATTCAATGGGACTTAGTCCCAAGAAATGAGGGTTAGGACTGCAGTCTGTGCGGGGGACAGACAGACAGACAGACAGACAGACAGACAGACAGACAGAAACAGTTAACTTGAACTACATAGAAGCATTATTCTCTATTCCCTGTTAATATTTAAGATAAATGTATGACAGGAATGTGTTATACATTTCCTACCCAGCTTGATAATATCTTGCGTTGTATTCAATGTAGCGCTAAGGAGAATGTTCTGTCAACATGAGGATTTCTCCTTGCACAAAACAGAACATTCCCTCCATTCCACCCCACCTCAAAAAAACAAACAAACCTGTTCTGGGGTTTTCCCTAATCATCTGGAGCAGATTTGGGTAGGGTTGTGATACATCTGGATTTTCATGGGATTCCAACAGCAAAATTAGTGTCCAGGGAAAATTTCAAAAAAATCAGCAAAATATCCAGGTTTTTGCCAACAGAACCAGGAAGTGTGTTTGAGTAGTAACAACGACTGCCCCGCCCCCACCCCCAAAAAAAGATTTCTACTTTTGAAATATAGCAACCATAGATTTGGGGATGGTGTGGGGTACATGCAGGGGAAAAAGAAGTGGAAAAAATCCATTGTACTAATGTCAATCCTTGTACAAGCACAGCTATTTAGTTGAATAAAGGTAAAAGACCCCTGGATGGTTAAGTCCAGTCAAAGGCGACTATGGGGTTGTGGTGCTCATCTCGCTTTCCTGCCAAGGGAGCCAGCGTTTGTCCACAGACAGCTTTCCGGGTCATGTGGCCAGCAGGACTAACCGCTTCTGCTGCAATGGAACACTGTGACGGAAACCAGAGCGCATGGAAATACTGTTTACCTTCTTGCCGCAGTGGTACCTATTTATCTACTTGCACTGGTGTGCTTTCGAACTGCTAGGTGGGCAGGAGCTGAGACAGCGCAACGGGAGCTCACCCCATCACGGGGATTCGAACCTCTGAACTTTCAATTTGCAAGCCCAAGAGGCTCAGTGGTTTACACCACAGCGCCACACGCTGAATATCACCTGGTGAAGATGATGGAAGCACGTATTCACCTGGGTCAGGTTTTCGATAACTATCCAACACTATGCCAAATTAAAATAGCAACATCAAAGCAAGGCCACGATGGACCTGCTTGGTGTTTGCCATCGAGAAGTACATAGTGTCACATAGAACCTGCTTCGGGGATGAGAAATCTGGGGCTCTCTATTGCAAAGCACAACATTCTCACACGCGTTGACGTTCGGCTTATTCAGGCCTGAATCATGGAAGGGTGTGAATCAAAGGACGGATTGTACTTTTAAGGCAACATAATCAGGTACTCAGTATGGTTCCAGCCACTTGAGGTCATGGAAAGCCCAGCCCACCCTGGAAATCAAGCAAACAAGCCAAGTCCGCAGTGATTAATGGGGGCTTCAAAACCCAGGCTAACACTCCTTCTTTTGTCAATATCTAGCAGGCTCTTGTGATAACTGCAGAACGAAAACTCCCTGATGGAGAATGATTGAGAGATTCTGGCATCTTTGCCCTCTTTCCCATTTCTCCTCCTCCCTGTCATAATCAGTCTTTGCTTCATGAGCAACGGCTGGTCAGGAACAGTAAACACAAGCTGGTGCCAAACCTTGCAGTTGTGTGTGTGTGTGTGTGTGTGTGTCAGGGGGGGTGGTGGAAATGGAGACCACAGCACCACAATAGAAATGGAGATAAGGGTTAGGAAATTAGCAGGAGGGAACATGTTTGTTTGGAAAAGAAGGGTGAAGGCAAAAATGAAGACTTCTGAGCCAGTCTAGCTTAGTGGTCTTGCAGGTAGGATTCCATAGGCTGCAAAAGGAAAGGGGAATGGCCAGAGCCACCTCAGACACAATTTTGCCTAAGAATAGAGATGGATAAGGGACGCGGGTGGCACTGTGGGTAAAAGCCTCAGCGCCTAGGGCTGCCGATCGAAAGGTCGGTGGTTCGAATCCCCGCGGCGGGGTGCGCTCCCACTGCTCGGTCCCAGCGCCTGCCAACCTAGCAGTTCAAAACCATGTCAAAGTGCAAGTAGATAAATAGGGACCGCTTACCAGCGGGAAGGTAAACGGCGTTCCGTGTGCTGTGCTGGCTCGCCAGGTGCAGCTTGTCACGCTGGCCACATGACCCGGAAGTGTCTGCGGACAGCGCTGGCCCCCAGCCTCTTGAGTGAGATGGGCGCACAACCCCAGAGTCTGTCAAGACTGGCCCGCACGGGCAGGGGTACCTTTACCTTTACCTTTAGAGATGGATAAATCTGTCGATTTTTGTTTTTCTTAGTTTCTCATTTTCCCAGTCTTAAGTTTAGTTATTCAATGTCTGCATCAGGTTCTAAGGTGTGTGTTTTTTAAAAAAAAATTGTCTGCATGGAAATTCATATGCATTCTTATTCACATTTTTGCCTAATATAATGCACCTTTGTGCATTATTTTCTCATACGGCCCATGTTATCTTGGGGAGGCAGTGAATACCATTTGGTTTTTCCATCCCATGTGCAGATGGAGAAAAAATTCTTTTTGGTTTGCATTTTAAAGCAAACCTACCTAATTTGCACTTCCCCAAATTCAAAACTGACACCTCTTTGAATCTGGAACCCCAAAATTTGTACAAAAATATGTACATTAGTGTGAATAAAACACACTAAATACTGAAAACAACATGTTAAAAATGCAGTAAAGTAGAGACAATGGCTAGGAAAAACATGCGAATTAGGCAAAATTGCATACAAAAGGGGCATGCTAGGAAATGTTTAGGCTAGAATGCCAATGAATTTCCACGATTTCTTCTTCTTTTTCATTGCACACTGATGCAGAAATGTGGAGAACTGAACTTAACATTGGAAAAATGAGAAGCAGAGAGAAACCAAAATGGACAGATTCACCTATCCTTTTCACTTTCTTGAAACAGGCCCAAGCAACTTTCTCCTGTTTTTGCTTTGTAGTTTAGGTTCTGAAGAAGAGTTTGGATTTGATATCCCGCTTTATCACTACCTGAAAGAGTCTCAAAGTGGCTAACATTCTCCTTTCCCTTCCTCCCCCACAACAAACACTCTGTGAGGTAAGTGGGGCTGAGAGACTTCAGAGAAGTGTGACTAGTCCAAGGTCACCCAGCAGCTGCATGTGGAGGAGCGGAGACGCGAACCCAGTTCCCCAGATTACGAATCTACCACTCTTAACCACTACACCACACTGGCTCTGAAGGTTGGGCAGCAGAGAACTGGTAGCAAGCAGAGGGTTGACTTAAAAGCCCATTTGACTCCTGTTCCAATGCTGTGATTCCGTGTAGATTAGGCTTTAAACCAGGGGTAACCAACATGGTGTTCGCCAGAAGATACTGGGCTATAATTTCCATCAGTCCCAGCTAGCATGGCCAGTGGTCAGGGATGATGGGAGTTCTAGTACAGCATCATCTGGCTGGGTAACATGTTGACTACTCCTGCTTTCAGCAATTTTGAGTGCTCTGGCCCTGAACCTCACTGTCCCAGTGAAATGACACATTCCCATGTGCCTATATTTTTGCTGGTAGAAGCAAGATGAGACTTACATATTTGAAAGGAAGCAGAATAGCCAGGATGATCCCGCTAAAAAGCAGCACCATCAGCATCACGAACAGCACGCCCTGGCAGGAGGTGAAATCATACTGTGGGAGGAAAGAAAAAGGTCATCACTGTAGCTGTGTACCCCGAATGAGTATATTCAAGGGCACCCAACTTCCAGGGAGCACGAGGTATTCACATAACCAAACACACACAGCCTTTGCCAGGCAATTGCTACTGAATCTTGTACGCAGATGGAACGCCCATCCTTCTCAAGTTATATCTCATGCCTTGAGATCCCTTCACTTACACTGTCTTAGACTCAGACAAGCTCTCCATCACATCTAGCTTTTTGACTATACGAGCCACAATATCCACCTCGGCATGTGTTGGGGAAATTTCAAGAGATTTCAGGAAGCCTCCTCCCAATACAATCCAAACTCAGACCCTTCCAAATTAGAACATAATGTATCTCATATTGGTGTTTGCCCCTGTCACTTCAGTTTATAGAAAATTTAGAGTTTCAATGGGCCGTTCATGTTTTATGGAGATTGAGTGATGATTGATTGATTGATTGATTGATTTAAGTTGCATACTGCCCTATACTCATAGATCTCAGGATGGTTCACAGCATAAAATTCTGTTCTTCAACCATCAAGATTCCCAGAGTGACTTGCAGATTACGAAAGAAAAATGTAATGTCTAAAAAGGCTTAATGCAAAAGAAAAATGGATTGAAAGGAAGGAACAAATAAGCAAACTCAGGGGCTGAAGGTGGCCCCATACCACCTCAGCTCCCTTTTTAAACATTTCATTTTGCTGCTTCTTGTTGGTGGTGGCCGTCTCCCCAGTAGGAATGGCAATGGTGCTCCTTCCAGTGACGGGTGGCTGCCATTTTTTATATCCAGATGTCTCTTTGAACAATACTATGTTCACATGTGGTGTTATTCTAGGAATACATCTGAGGTGAGGAATGACAGCTGCTGCTCCTGGCTCTGCACTTACTAATGGTAACTGTAGCTTATTTTTGCCCCGTTTTGCCCCCACCCACCTGAAAATTGCCAGAATGACCCTCCCAACTTCTCCTTCACCTGTACACGGAGTGACAAAATTTAGGATGCCCAACCCTGCTAAGACACATTCACTCACCTTGGTTTGGAAGCTGAATAAGGTGACAGAGAGGCATACCAGTGCTGTTATCCCTAGGCACAGAAGGACTGACTTGGTGTTGTAGTAGCTGCAAAATGAAAAATGGAATGGAATGGTTTTAGAGATCCAAACTAAGAGATCCGCCTTCAGAAAGGACATGTGCTATAGTTTGGGGACACATTTGGTTTAGAAACTAACCCGAAACTTTGGATTCTGATCAAGTCATTAAGTTGGAAGAGGGATGCCAACTTGTACATGTTGCTCAGGAGCAGAAGGAACAGATGTTGTCAAAATATCTGAATTCTCCGCATTCTGAGGAATGGGGCCTCAATTGGGTACCTCTACATATCCAATTACAGTATGAGGCTACCTTTTACCAAGTCTGACAATTGGTCCATCTAGACCTGCCTTGTACATGCCAGCCAGTGGTGCTTATTCAAGGACTTGGGTCTTCCCCAGATCTGGCACGCAAGCTTTTCTAACTGAAGAGGCCAAGAAGGGATCCTAGCATCCCTCTGCATGCAAAGGCAGGTGCTATGTCACTGAGCCACAGTTGCTGACCTCAGAGGAATCTCATTGGACAGGGACTCTGAGAACCACATCCTGGGAATAACATAACAAGGATGCCCAACATCACCTTCCCACCTGCCTTGTGACCTTTCCAAAGACACAGATATAATTAATGATAATAAAGTTGGTCATGGCTGGACAAATGGAGAAGAAGAAAGTCCTATTTAATTCAGTGCATACTCCCAGGTAATTGGGGTTAGGACTGCAGCCTTAATCAAGAACAGCCCAAGTTGACATACTATGCTTTTGTTTTGTATTTGCAACAGCAGAATAGCTTGCTGCAATGTGTTGATTGCTCTACTAGATACTGTGACCAACTAATGCCTTTGTTTGTCCTTCCAGTGCCACTGACAGGCCATCAGACAAAAATAAAACAATGAAAATTCATGATGCACCTCTGCATGAGATTGTTACAGCATGGTGGCAGAGAATGACAAATGTACATGACTTGGGCCACAAGTAGGGATGGAGGGAAAAAATGATTCAGTTCATGCTTGAAGCTGAATCTATCAAATTTGCACTTTCCAAAACAATATGAGAACCTCAAGCAACAAAATGGATCATGGCACCCTTGGGATAGAGAGGGGTGTGTGTAAATAAGCACGCTCTGACTTTCTAATGAAACATCGGAGGGTGAGGCCAAAGAATGAAATCTCACACAAAGAAGAAATATGGCAAGTATGCAGTCTCTTCTTGTGACCAACCTACCTGGAGAGCATCCCAGTCAGATAGGCCATGGAAAGCGTCTGTGGAAGGAAAGACACTTGGTTAACTTCAGAAGCTGGAGCTGAGTGTTAGGGAAAGAGGCGCAACCAGATGTCACCAGAAGCGCATGCTCTTTGTCCTTTCTGAGGACAAACTCAAAGCACTTGTGAGCCACCAAGCAATAATAGTGCATAAAGGATGGATTTACACTGGGTAGTTTCTTCCTCTGTGGTGTCATAAACAGGCCAAAAGCCAAAGAGAACTATTCATTTAATAGTTGCATTGCAGGGGGAATTTCAGATGGTGCAATTTTTTCCCTCAACCCTGCATGGCAAGCTGTGCTGCCAAAATCCTTCAGTCTATTCAACTTTTGAAGGTCCAGGACCCCCAGCCTTCTTTGCTGCTGGGCACCCTAACTGAGACACTGTTTTACCCCCCAAAATTATAGTACCCTTTGTCTACACCAGGCTTGTCATCCTAGTCCCTACTGCCCACTAGTGGGTGTTCAGGATTCTAGGGGGGCGGTAGGGGGTTCTACAGCACAAGCTGAATCCTCCTTCCATCGAGCACTGGTAAGGAAATTTCACCATCAAGAAAGATGCATTAGTGGGCGGTAGGTATGAAAAGGTTGACTACCCCTGGTCTACACCTTTCTGATTTGGGGGCTTCCTGGTGTTGTTGGACTCCAACTCCCAGCAGCCCAGAAAGCATGGTCAGTGGTCAGGGATGATGGGATTTGTGCTTAATCAACCAAAGATATTGCTGGACTACAGCTCCCATCATTCCTGACCATTGGTGGGGGCTGATGGGAGTTGGGAGTTCAGAGCATTTGGAGGGTTCCATGTTGGCGGAAGCTGCTTCATAGAGTCAATGGTTTCAGACTTTGGCTTTCAGCCACTGGAAATGGACAGAACGTGACGTGAGAACATAGGAAGAGTCTTGCAGGATCAGGCCAATGGCCCATTTGATGCAGCATCATCTTGTTCTCACAGTGGCCAGCCAGATGCCTGTGGAAAACCTTCAAGGAGGAATCAAGCACAAGAATATTTTCCCTCCATTGGGTTTCCAGCAACTGGCAATCAGAGGCATAATATGGAGGCAGATCACAGTCATCATGGCTAGTAGCCACTGATAGCCTTATCCTCCATGAATTTGTCCAATCCTCTTTTAAAGTCATTTAGGTTGGTGTCTATCACTGCCTCCAGTGGGAGTGTGTTCCATAGCTTAACTATGGGCTGCATCAATAAACACTTTCCTTTTCTTCCCTTATTCTTCCTTCGGCTTCCTGTTGGACATGCGGTCCGATGTTCCTGTAAAATCCCCCTTAGTAAAGGTAAAGGTACCCCTGCCCGTACGGGCCAGTCGTGTCCAACTCTAGGGTTGCGCGCTCATCTCGCTTAAGAGGCCAGGAGCCGGTGCCGTCCAAAGACACTTCCGGGTCACGTGGCCAGTGTGACGAAGCTGCAGCTGGCGAGCCAGCACCAGCGCCGCACACAGAAACGCCGTTTACCTTCCCGCTATAAAGCGGTACCTATTTATCTACTTGCACTTAGGGGTGCTTTCGAACTGCTAGGTGGGCAGGAGCTGGGACCGAACGACGGGAGCTCACCCCGCCGCAGGGATTCGAACCGCCGACCTTACGATCAGCAAGTCCTAGGCACTGAGGTTTTACCCACAGCGCCACCCGTGTCCCCCTTAGCTTAGCACAAATCACAGCCCCAGGTATACTACTTACAAAGATGCTCAGGAGGATCAGGTTCCATGGGAAGTACCTCCTGTGAGTTAAGTGAAAGGGAGCCAGGAAAACACTGTCGTTACTCAAAGAGCATAACCACTAGAAGGAAAATTGCACAACAGCATCTTGCATAATCAGATAATTAAAGCAGGGGGGATAGAGAAGCAGGGCAATAACATGTGTACAGTTCTACTGGGTAACTATTGCTCAAGAGATGCTCTGGAGCACAAAAGCTTCTCTTGCTGATTCAACTTAACTAAGAGTTTGCCACCTTTTCAGATGTGCCTTTTCAACAGTGGCTTGCGAGGTGTGGTTTATATCAAGCAAGCATTTCTTGGCATGGAAATGAACAATGTCACTCCTTTGCTGCTGCGAGTATAAAAAGGTAAAGGACCCCTGACAGTTAAGTCCAGTCGCAGACGACTCTGGGGTTGTGGCACTCATCTTGCTTTACTGGCCGAGGGAGCCGACGTACAGCTTCCTGGTTATGTGGCCAGCATGACTAAGCCGCTTCTGGCGAACCAGAGCAGTGCATGGAAATACCGCTGGAGCAGTACCTATTCATCTACTTGCACTTTGAGGTGCTTTCGAACTGCTAGGTAGGCAGGAGCAGGGACCGAACAATGGAAGCTCACCACGTCGTGGGGATTCGAACCGCCAACCTTCTGATTGGCAAGCCCTAGCCTCTGTGGTTTAGACCACAGCGCCACCCGCATCCCTTGTGAGTATAGTATCTGCTAAAAGGGCAAAGCACCTAGGATCTGGATGGAAAGAGGGATTTGGAGGGAATAATACCCAAGGACATCAATATACTGAAAAACACTGGCATGTTCGGGGGGGGGGATCAGATCTTCCTCCCTTCCTCTTCTTTCCAATGCATAACTATAGCAGAGCATTTTCCTCACTGTGGCATGCCTCAATCAGAAAAGAAGGTCTGTTCTCCCTGTGCAATGCAAAACCAGAACCCAGGCCAGTGATGCCTAGTTCACTACATGCACCACAAGGCAAACTGATGAGCCATTATCTCAAACTTACATCAGCACCACCCACCCCTGCCAGGGGAGAAGGGATGAGTGAAGATCAGAGGGACATCAGAGGGACAGCTAGAAGACCAGCTAATAATAATAATAAAATTATTATTATTATTATTATTATTATTATTATTATTATTATTACCCCACCAATCTGGCTGGTTTCCCTAGCCACTCTGGGTGGCTTCCAATGAAATATTAAAATACAGCGGTCTGTTAAACATTAAAAGCTTCCCTAAACAGGGCTGCCTTCAGATGTCTTCTAAAACTTGTACTGATATGAGAATATCCAAATTTCCAAGGTGACACAGATCTCTCCCACAAACAAGACAGAAAAGGAGATGCACAGAGAACCCAAATCCCCTTTCTCTATCAAATGCACTAAAAGTAGGGTTTTACCTGGGTCCAGAGCAGCAAGCCAGGATCAGGTAGGTAATAAAGAAGACGGCACTGCAATGAGAGGGGTGGGGAGGAAGACACACAGAGAGAGAGAGAGAGTTGAACCAAGTGGGGTGGGATTGCAGATTCCCATTCAGGGCATCTGGCTGGACACTGTGAGAACAGGATGCTGGACAAGATGGGTCACTGGCCTGATCCAGCAGGCTCTTCTTATGTTAGCTTTCCTGGTCTTACCTGGAGATACCAGGGTATTGAACTTGGGACGATTTGTTCTACCACTGAGCTATGGCCCTTCTTGATGTTTGGTCAATGCAGGGATGGGGAACCCTTGCAGATGTTGGACTACAACTCCCTCCCCCCCTGACCATTGGGCCATGCTGCCTGGGGTTGATGGGAGTTGCAGTCCAACAACATCTGGAGAAGCACAGGCTCCCCATCTGTGGTCTAATAGGGAGAAAGAAGAGGATCTATGACTTACTTGGCACTTTATCTCAAGCCTCTCAAGTTCCACCTTGAACCCCAGCCTATATCCCAGTGGGCTAAGGGCTACAACAGAAACAGAAAACACCCTTCTTAATGGGATGGGGGGGGTGAATGGTCCACACAATCAACCAGTTCAACCTGGTGGAGAATTATTAGTGACTCCAGACAACTGAGTGAATAGGGAACAGGAGGTCAACCTTCAGAGAGTCTGTGCAAGAGGAAAACTTCTCCAAGTATTTTTCCACTGTGTGAAGGGCTGTAGAGTGTAACCCTAAACCATTTGCCGTACTGTCACCTTCTGCCTGGTGGGGAGATGGCTTGTGACTGAGAAGACAGGTTCCACTTACATTTGCAACAGTGAGGCTGAGGCATGTGGTCAAGCTGGGAAATAAAAACAGCCATGGAGTGGGGGTGGAAGTACTTGCAGTTGCCATGCCCCACCTCTTAAATCTGGTTCTTTTTAAATGAAAACATATTTTATTTATTTTGCAAACCTAAGCAGATTTGCATAGCAGCAGCAACAACAAATAAAACTCCCTCCAACCCTCCACTCCCAGAGGGCAGATTTGTACCTAGGTAAGATATGGCTTCTGTCCAGCTCTAGATTTTCACAAGCGTCAATAAAGTAATGGATTGAAAGTGTCTTTCCCCAGTGTTCCGTGTGTTCTTGGTGGGCGAAAGAACGTTCAATGGATTGTGCGTATTGAATTAAACCAAACCATGTTGCATAGAAGGTAGTACTCCTCTTTCCTGTATGATGCTCATGTTCTAAAGTGGTTAACCCTAAACTTTACCTCTGAGCTACACGGCCCTCTCCACAGAGTTTTTCTTCGGTGCTTTCTAACTACCCATCCTTGGTTACACCTTGCCTGTTGCTTCTCTAGTGCTGTGCCAAGAAAAGCCAGGCTGGCATTAACTGTGCACACCTGCACAGTGGCGAAGCTACATCCCAGAAGGTGTGGCGCATGTCCCGGGGGCGTGGTGAGCATCCCAGGGGGCGTGGCATGTGTTGGGGGTGTATGTGGCAAGCACCAAGTGTCCTGGGGTGCTTGGCAAGCACCATGGCTGCGATGGCACCCCCTGGATGGTACCTGGGGCAGACCGCCCCCCGGCCCCTCCTTCGTCTGCCAGTGCACCTACACCATCTCCCTTGTAGCACTGAACCTGCATTTCTCTGCTATTTTGCATTGTTTGCTGATCATGGAGAGGGGGAAGGGAACAATGAACCCCTCTGCCTTCTGAGGTTTCAATAAACCATTGTTTATTGTAGGTCCAAACCAGCAGGTCAGAGGTCTGCTTCTAGGTCCACTGTCTCCGAACTCTTTCCCCCCAGGGACTCAGTCGTAGAGGGAAAGATGTCTAGGGTCCTCCTCTCCCTGTACTCTTTCCCACTGCACACTAAGGGGGTTCCTTCCTCCTCATCTCCAGTGCTCAACTAAAATGGGATGGGGCTTAATGAAAGCTCCACCCCTGACTCTGCCCACTTTGGGCCAAAAAGGGCTGAAAGTGTTTGCCCATTTCTTTTTCCTCTTTATTTTATTTCCCCAAAGACCTCCTAAAACAGTCCCATACATACACCACAACTAATAACAGTATACATCTGTAACATATGTTCCCAATTAAATGATCCACAAGTTAGTATAAACCTTTGGAACGGGTCTTTGGTTTTCTAGAGAATTTGTAAATGAAATGAAGCTCCATTTTGTCCTGCCTAGCATCACATTCACCTGGTGAGCCCCAGCTGTATGACTATTCCCAGTGCCACTGAAGCCATGGGGTCCATAGCTGTCAACTTACAGATTTGAAAATAAGGGACCAGCAGCCTCGAAAATAAGGGACCAGCAGCCAAAATAAGGGATTTTCAGAGCACAGGTATGTTCAACTTCTGAGCCCCTCCGAGCCAAAGGCAGAAAGCCCAGCCAGCAGCCAAACAAAGCCTCAAGTGGTGGTTCCCACAGTGCAGCAACCCGGCAAAGGGGATGCAGCAAGGAAAACCACTGTCACCTCTCCGCCGGGAAGCGCTGAGCAAAGGCAAATCCCCAGGCAACGCGGCCGATTTGATCAGCCCAAGGCATGCAAGTTCCATCCCCAGTCGTTCTTAGACTCCTTATTGGGTGAGCAACGCAGCCAAGCAACACAGTTGGAGCCTCCCTCCTCCCTGGCCGGCAGGGAGGGAGGGAGGGAGAGGAGCTGCTTCCTTTGAAACCCTGGAAATTGAAGGGACATCATCAATAAGGGACAGCAGTTGGACACAGCGCTGGGATAAGGGACTTTCCTGCCAAATAAGGGACGGTTGACAGCTATGATAGGGTCATTTTGAGCAGGATTATTATGGGTTGGAGCTCAGACTCTACCCTTTAGCTTGTTCTTAAGGTTGCTTTTGTTTTCCTATGTCCGCCTGTCCATCAATAACTCTTGTACTGGGCCTACAAAATAACTAAACTTGCCTTATATATTAAATAAGAATGTAAAGAGAGATGGAGCTTATTTCTGAGATAAAGCCAGTACTTACTAGGAAGCCCAGTACCAGGCTGGATTTGCTTGGATATATGTTTGGACTGGTTCACTGCAGCAAAGAAAGAGAAAGACAAGGCACATGAGAGCAATTCAAAGAGAGCAGGGCACCTGTGATCCCGGCATCTCAACCGCTTGCCCATGGCCTGTAGGAGGCACACCAAACCAAACACCCTCCACCCAACCATTGCCTCTTGCCTCCCTCTCCTCCCCATCCACACTGTGGCTGTAACATTGTGTCCTCTGCTGCTAAATCTTGACACTGGTGTACAATACGGACAACTAGAGGGAGCCTGATCCACCACCCTCTTCCCAGCAATTTTTTTGGCTCTCCCAAGGCCCCACCAATTTTAGTGTCAGATTTAAAAAGTTGTTGTTGTTAGATATATTATCCATCCTTCACCAGGAGATCTCAGGGCAGGTTACAAAAATTTAGAATTCAGCATTAGAAAGTTAAAACGAAACAAAAATAAAAGTAGACACAATGCTAGGCTGGGTGGAGCCCAGCACCCTGATGGGAACGAAAAGTATCCCCTTTCCAGTCATCAGATCGATCATCTGATGAGCAGAGAGGTTGCAGTATCAGGTGATTTGCATGGTTTACCCAAAAAGGGGTCCTGGGTGTGCATCTGACTGTGTGTACATGCATATAAGCAGTTTGCATAAGAATATGATTAGCCACACCCACTGCTGCCATGTGACCTCAGGAAGGTTGGCCAACAAAACAAACAAAAAAGCAAGCCACTCTGTTGTTGAGTCTAGTTACAGGGCCGTATCAGATCTGGGTCTAGTCAGAATGTTCTTAGTATCTTGTGTAACAGGCTGCTGCTGTGTTAGCACTGGAGAACTGGGTCACTCACCCCAGCATCAGTGCAAAGGAATGGATTATCGACAGTGCTAGGAGGGGCTTATTCTGAGGCATTTTTTCTGTGCAGCTATACACCGACTTGTGGGAAATAAATGCTTCATGTACTTACTGAGCAAGACCCTGCAAACAGCAAGCACCGCTTAAACCACCCAGTGTTTGGGGAAAGGGGCGGGGTGGGGTCAATGCTCTCAGTTTCCACACAGCCTCAAAAATAATTGAAGCGGGCATCACCATCAGCATAATGCCATCAATTTATTTGCTTTATTCTACTCCAGGGAAATGGCTGTTGGCTTTGTAGCCAGGTGATTAAATGGCTTGAAAAGTCTCGAGCGATACCAATGTATTATTCATGTGACATGCAATTTGATTCAGGTAAGCCTTTGCATCCACCACCTCTGCTATTTGAGCATCAGACAGGTGGCCGCTGAAAACCGAGGCTATGAATAAAAGTGCACCAAACGGTGTTGCAGAGTCCTAATGCTTTCTTCTTCCAGATACAGCTGCTAGGGACAAAGAGAGGGTGATCTCCAATGTATCTCACCCAGGGAGGGGGTTTTGCTGCCTGAGACGAAACGGGAATGTGCCACTGTGCTGTCACTCCGCCCCACCACTGAAGCCTCCCTTACCAGGGTGGTACAGCAGTGCCCGTGAAGCAGTGGCAGCAGTTTCCAGGGGGATCTCATGCACTCCACGAGATCTCGTGAGATTTCAGCAAGGTCTCACCGGAAGCCAGTGGCAGAGGCAGAGAAGCACTCATGGAGGCACCACCTCTAGGGTTTGGGCCACCCGAGGCAGCTGCTTCACCCCACCTCATGGGCCCTGAACAGTGTGGTATGAAGGTCAAGGGTGCTCCCTTCACAAAAGCACAAAGAACATACACCCATCTTTCTTTCACTCTATGTGGGGCTGCCCTTGAGCCTGACCCAGAAACTCCAACGGGTGCAGAATGCCGCGGCGAGACTCCTTACGGGGTCCTCGCTGCGAGATCACATTCACCCAGTGCTATACCAGCTGCACTGGCTCCCGGTGGGGTACAGGATCAGGTTTAAGGTGCTGGTTTTAACCTTTAAATCCCTATACAGCCTAGGACCCTCGTACCTACGGGACCGCCTCTCCTGGTATGTCCCACAGAGGAACTTACAGTCTTCAGACAAAAACATCCTGAAGGTCCCAGGCCACAGAGAGGTTAGGCTGGCCTCAACTAGAGCCAGGGCTTTTTCGGCTGTGGCACCGATCTGGTGGAACGCTCTGTCACAAGAGACTAGGGCCATGCGGGACTTGACATCTTTCCGCAGGGCCTGCAAGACAGAACTGTTCCACCAGGCCTTTGGTCAGGGCACAGCCTGACTCCCTCCTTTCACAGAACTTTAGCTTAATGGTTGCCATCAATTTGATTTGAATTAATTTTATAATGAAATGATTTTAGAATGTTGTACTATTTTATTGTTGTTAGCTGACCTGAGCCCGGCTTCGACTGGGGAGGGCGGGATATAAATTTTAAAAATTATTATTATTATTATTATTTGATTTTATCTTAGTTTTGTGAGCCAGCTTGAGCATGTAGAAAGACAGGCTATGAATGTTTTCAACAAATTTCACTGATTCCACAGACTCTAATGTATGAGATTCCCGTCATTCTTGATACATATTGGTGGAACATATAGCTTTTGAACGGAGCTGCCACTAAGGATGGAGGAGCAATTCAATTCAGTTTGCATATAAAGCTGAATTGATCAAATCCACACTTTCTGAAACAATACGAGAAGCGAAGCACAAGTCGCCCTTTGAAATTTGCACTTAGGCAAAATTTGCAGTGCAGGTCTCCAAGCACCCAATGTTTACAAAAGAAGGCATATATTATGGGGAAATGTGCATAAAAAATGAATATGTTCATGAAAGTAACACACAAAAATGCATTATATTAGGAGAAATTGCCTGCAGAAAACATGTACCTTAGTCAAAACTGCATACAAAAATATGTTTGTTAGGAATAATGAGAATTTATGATTGGAGAAATGAGAAACTGAGAGAACCAGAAACTGACAGATCCATCCATCCCTAGGTGCTACCAATTCTCACCTAGAGCAGGGGTAGCCAAGATGGCACCCTCCAAATGTGAACTGCAACTCCCATCATCCTTTGCAATTAGTCATGCTGGATGGGCCAATGGGAGTTGGAGTCCGACAGCATCTGGTGGGTACCACAATGGCTGCTCCTGAAAGCAATGTTCAAGGCCATTGTGGATGCTCCTCTTTGGTTAAAATACCTCAGAAATTTTAAGGGAAGCTATTAATACCTTCCTGTAGTCTGCTATCATTCTGTTTAAGGCTCCAGACACACAGTAAAACAAACAAAGAAATAATATATCATCGGTCAAGTGTGTCAGCTTGAATGCAAGTCCACGGACTTAGACGTTTGCAGGATAGTCCACAAGACAGAAAGTCGTGCATAGTTTGCTCCTTTTATTCCCCATGCACAGGAAGAAATAATACGGGAGCAGTACTACCATCAGGAAACATTAGCCAAAGCACAAAAGGCACCTAAAGCAAAAGGCTTCTTGGTGGGCCAGAGACTTACCAGAAGGTGAAGAGGGCCACAATGGCAACTGTAACGAGAAGCTGAATCAAAAGGATGCTGTAAACCTAAAATTGGGGGGAAAGGATTGAATCAGCATGGCTGATGCTTAGAAACAAAAGGTAGAATTCAACACTGTGCTAAGGCAATCGTTCCATCAGTGCAAAAATGATTCTCCCTCTTCCTCATCCTGCCCATTGTGGAGGTTCTCCTGAACCTCCTGAGCAACTGCACAGGGAGGGGGCAAATCCTGCTGCATCAGCGGGCCTAATTGTGCTGGTTTCCAATAGTGCAACAACTCAGTTGAATTCAGCCCATAGTTTGACACAATCCTTCCTTGTGGGATGTGAGCCATTAAGAATCAAAGCTATCTGCATAGCCCTGTCCATCAGCTATGTTTCTTGCAGGGGGTTCACATGACACACATGCAGACACCAGTGACACAAACGCAAAGTCCTGTGGGCTATATGGGATCACACCCATAGGTCTCCAACCCCACTCCCACCCACATGTAACTGGATAGGGAGGCAAACTGGATAAGAGCCAGCATGGTGTAGTGGTTAAGAGTGGTGGACTCGTAATCTGGTCAACTGGGTTCGCTTCCCCGCTCCTCCACATGCAGCTGCTGGGTGATATGGGCTAGTCACACTTCTCTGAAGTCTCTCAGCCTCACCTCATAGAGTGTTTGTTGTGGGGGAGGAAGGGAAAGGAGATTGTTAGCCATTTTGAGACTCCTTAAGGGGAGTGAAAGGCGGGATATCAAGTCCAAACTCCTCTTCTTCTTATAAGTGAGCCTAGAGCAAGAAGCATGTTGGACACCCTTGTTCCATACAGTATGGAGGAAGGTTGACTGTAAAAGACATTACCTTCCTAATGAACACCCTGCGCACACTGCGGTCATCCCAGCTGAAAGTTGTGAGTGTCTCAGTGTCCCCCGAAAATCCACTGCCATAGTTGGGACTGGAGCCTGAAAAGGATGAAAAGCAAGACATGTCAAGCTTTGCTCCACTGCTCTTCTGGGGGCAAGTAGGGCACATCTCTCTTCAAAGAAGCACAAAATCTTCCAGGCACATTAATACCACTAGGACATTCTGTCACTGGTTTCCCTAAAGTTTGCAGCAAGTCAGATGATGTTTTCTATGGCAGGTCAGTATTTGCATATTCAACTGCCATTAACAAAAACACAATGCCAGCTCCTGCCAACCTAGCAGTTCAAAAGCACATCAAAGTGCAAGTAGATAAATAGGTACCACTCCGGCGGGAAGGTAAACAGTGTTTCCATGCACTGCTCTGGTTTCGCCAGAAGCAGCTTAGTCATGCTGGCCACATGACTCGGAAAAACTGTCTGCAGACAAACATCAGCTCCCTCGGCCAGTAAAGCGAGATGAGCGCCGAAACCCCAGAATCGTTCACGACTGGACTTAACTGTCAAGGGTCCTTTACCTTTTTTTAATGTTCTACCACACAAAAAGGATCAGGTATGAATGAACTTTGTGGCATAAAACCAAAGGCCTTTGCAAAACAAAACAAAAATAAACAAAAACCCCAAACTTACTTACTTCTTGTTGATACATAAGCTTTCTTCAGACATTATAAAATGGTTAATATTAACCATTATAAAATGGTTAACATTTATGTTCCCTGGATTTAGCCAGCAACATTGAATGAGACTTGTATATTTCATTGATTCTGTGTCCGCATATCAGATAAAGATCTACCCACGTTTTGCCAAATTTGTCTGAGAAGACAACACTTTGTTCTTCATTGAGCAAAACAAGCCAAATCTCTAGCTTTAGATGTGATGCTAAGCTAGAGATCATGGTTTGTCTCTCCCATGTGCTAGCAGGGATAAGAGTAGCCCAGATCAGCATGTTAATAGAAAACATGTGTGATGTGTGAACTGTGCCAGTGTATTAAGCTAGAGTATTTGGTTAGATTGTGGCTTCGGTTAATGGGGACCAAAACAAATTCTTTGCAGGTTGGGGGAAAAGGCCAACATTTGATTCCCATTTGAGGGTGAAGTGAATGGAAAGTTACCATCTTCAAGATGAACAGTTTAAAAAGATGTCACAGGTGACAGTATCATAGATCAAAGATATAAGGGGGGGGAAGAGTAGCAAACCCAGAAAAACAATGAAAATTGCATGTTCCAGTTCTTACCAAAGAAACAAAAAATAGGATCAAAAGGCCACAGGGCCTGGGGAGCCCAGGTAGACTTTGTACTCTCAGGATCATGTGAATGTCCCAAGAAAGAGGACATTTCACAGGACTTTCCAGTTCTGAACAAAATGTGCTTGGTGTGTGTGTGTGTGTGTGTGTGTGTGTGTGTGTGTGTAAACTTTATACTAGTGTATGCCTTTTTGTACACATTACTTAGCTGGACAACTGCACTGCAAAATTCAGAGAAGTGCGAATTTTGAAGGCAGGCCCTGCTTTAGTTTGTGTGTTGTTTTCAGAAAGTGTGAATTAGCTAAGTGTGCTTTTTAATGTGAATTGGATTAGATTTCCCCCCTATCCTTTGTGGGAATGGACTCGGGAGATCAGCTCGAATCTCATTTGTCTCTGGTTTAATGTGAATTTTCCATTGTTCCTTGAATAAACATTCAGATTGGCTGTTATCCCTGGATAATGGTTAATGAAACCCATATTTAAAGATTTTGAAGAAATATAACAACAAGATACTAACACCTATTCAGTGCTGTTACACTGTGAAAAACTTCTAACCATGTACCCCTTGTGATTTTTTGCCCTCTAAACTGAAAACAATACACACTTTAGTCTTTTTCATAAGGAAGGTCCTTTGCCCCTTTCCTGCCCCTTTCCAACTTTACAATAATCCTTTCTGAGATGCAATGACCAGCACAGTACACTGTATTCCAAAAGTGACTGCACCATAGATTTATATGATGCCATTATGATAGTGGTTCGTTTTATTTTCAAACCCTTTCCTACAAACATCCAGAATGAAAGTTGCCTTTTTTTATTGCCATCATATATTGAGCTGAGTTGATATTTTCACTGAGCATTTTCATTCACCATGACCTCAATATCTCTTTTGAAAATAATGGGGGAGATTAGAAAAAATAATATACATACTTATTAATTTTAAGAATGCGTAAACCATGCCTTCATCCAAAAGTAGATTACAGAGTTGTATAGGTAAACACTTGAAATATGCAGTGCAGTATTAAAATAGTGTAAATGAACTCAAAATAAATTCAACAAAATTATAATAAAATTGAGGGGACTAAAACTCAACAATATTTAAAAATGTCTTTGAAAATTATTTATTTATTAAAGGTTTATTATTATTTTTTAAGGTGCTAAACAGAATATAGAACTGATGCTAGGCATACCTCCCACAGGAGAGCATTCCATAGCTGAAGTGCCAGCACAGCAAAGGGCCTATCTTTTTAATACAGTGGTACCTTGGGTTATATGGGACGCGGGTGGCACTGTGGGTTAAAGCCTCAGCGCCTAGGACTTGCCGATCGAAAGGTCGGCGGTTCGAATCCCCGCGGCGGGGTGCGCTCCCGTCGTTCGGTCCCAGCGCCTGCCAACCTAGCAGTTCGAAAGCACCTTCGGGTGCAAGTAGATAAATAGGGACCGCTTACCAGCGGGAAGGTAAACGGTGTTCTGTGTGCTGCGCTGGCTCGCCAGATGCAGCTTGTCACGCTGGCCACGTGACCCGGAAGTGTCTGCGGACAGCGCTGGCTCCCGGCCTATAGAGTGAGATGAGCGCACAACCCTAGAGTCTGTCAAGACTGGCCCGTACGGGCAGGGGTACCTTTACCTTTACCTTACCTTGGGTTATATACGCTTCAGGTTACATAAGCTTCAGGTTACAGACTCTGCTAACCCAGAAATAGTACCTCGGGTTAAGAACTTTGCTTCAGGATGAGGACAGAAATCGTGCAGCAGCGGCGCGGCAGCAGCGGGAGGCCCATTAGCTAAAGTGGTGCTTCAGGTTAAGATCAGTTTCAGGTTAAGAACGGACCTCCAGAACGAATTAAGTACTTAACCCGAGGTACCACTGTA